CCGAAGAGAGACCGCATAGACTGAGACCAGAGTGGACCGAAGAGAGACCGCATAGACTGAGACCAGAGTGGACCAAGGAGAGACCGCATAGACTGAGACCAGCGCGGACCGAGGAGAGACCGCATAGACTGAGACCAGAGTGGACCAAGGAGAGACCGCATAGACTGAGACCAGCGCGGACCGAGGAGAGACCAGCATAGACTGAGACCAGAGTGGACCGAAGAGAGACCGCATAGACTGAGACCAGCGCGGACCGAAGAGAGACCGCATAGACTGAGACCAGCGTGGACCAAGGAGAGACCGCATAGACTGAGACCAGACTGGACCGCATGAGACCAGCGCGGACCGAAGAGAGACCGCATAGACTGAGACCAGACTGGACCGCATGAGACCAGCGCGGACCGAAGAGAGATCGCATAGACTGAGACCAGAGTGGACCAAGGAGAGACCGCATAGACTGAGACCAGACTGGACCAAGGAGAGACCGCATAGACTGAGACCAGCGCGGACCGAGGAGAGACCGCATAGACTGAGACCAGAGTGGACCAAGGAGAGACCGCATAGACTGAGACCAGCGCGGACCGAGGAGAGACCGCATAGACTGAGACCAGAGTGGACCAAGGAGAGACCGCATAGACTGAGACCAGCGCGGACCGAGGAGAGACCGCATAGACTGAGACCAGCGCGGACCGAGGAGAGACCAGCATAGACTGAGACCAGACTGGACCGCATGAGACCAGCGCGGACCGAAGAGAGACCGCATAGACTGAGACCAGAGTGGACCGAAGAGAGACCGCATAGACTGAGACCAGAGTGGACCAAGGAGAGACCGCATAGACTGAGACCAGCGCGGACCGAGGAGAGACCGCATAGACTGAGACCAGCGCAGACCGAAGAGAGACCGCATAGACTGAGACCAGCGCGGACCGAAGAGAGACCGCATAGACTGAGACCAGCGCGGACCGAGGAGAGACCGCATAGACTGAGACCAGCGCGGACCGAAGAGAGACCGCATAGACTGAGACCAGCGTGGACCAAGGAGAGACCGCATAGACTGAGACCAGACTGGACCGCATGAGACCAGCGCGGACCGAAGAGAGACCGCATAGACTGAGACCAGACTGGACCGCATGAGACCAGCGCGGACCGAAGAGAGATCGCATAGACTGAGACCAGAGTGGACCAAGGAGAGACCGCATAGACTGAGACCAGACTGGACCAAGGAGAGACCGCATAGACTGAGACCAGCGCGGACCGAGGAGAGACCGCATAGACTGAGACCAGAGTGGACCAAGGAGAGACCGCATAGACTGAGACCAGCGCGGACCGAGGAGAGACCGCATAGACTGAGACCAGAGTGGACCAAGGAGAGACCGCATAGACTGAGACCAGCGCGGACCGAGGAGAGACCGCATAGACTGAGACCAGAGTGGACCAAGGAGAGACCGCATAGACTGAGACCAGCGCGGACCGAGGAGAGACCAGCATAGACTGAGACCAGACTGGACCGCATGAGACCAGCGCGGACCGAAGAGAGACCGCATAGACTGAGACCAGAGTGGACCGAAGAGAGACCGCATAGACTGAGACCAGAGTGGACCAAGGAGAGACCGCATAGACTGAGACCAGCGCGGACCGAGGAGAGACCGCATAGACTGAGACCAGCGCAGACCGAAGAGAGACCGCATAGACTGAGACCAGCGCGGACCGAAGAGAGACCGCATAGACTGAGACCAGCGCGGACCGAGGAGAGACCGCATAGACTGAGACCAGCGCGGACCGAGGAGAGACCGCATAGACTGAGACCAGCGCGGACCGAGGAGAGACCGCATAGACTGAGACCAGCGCGGACCGAAGAGAGACCGCATAGACTGAGACCAGCGTGGACCAAGGAGAGACCGCATAGACTGAGACCAGACTGGACCGCATGAGACCAGCGCGGACCGAAGAGAGACCGCATAGACTGAGACCAGCGCGGACCGAGGAGAGACCGCATAGACTGAGACCAGCGCGGACCGAAGAGAGACCGCATAGACTGAGACCAGCGTGGACCAAGGAGAGACCGCATAGACTGAGACCAGACTGGACCGCATGAGACCAGCGCGGACCGAAGAGAGACCGCATAGACTGAGACCAGACTGGACCGCATGAGACCAGCGCGGACCGAAGAGAGATCGCATAGACTGAGACCAGAGTGGACCAAGGAGAGACCGCATAGACTGAGACCAGACTGGACCAAGGAGAGACCGCATAGACTGAGACCAGCGCGGACCGAGGAGAGACCGCATAGACTGAGACCAGAGTGGACCAAGGAGAGACCGCATAGACTGAGACCAGCGCGGACCGAGGAGAGACCGCATAGACTGAGACCAGCGCGGACCGAGGAGAGACCAGCATAGACTGAGACCAGACTGGACCGCATGAGACCAGCGCGGACCGAAGAGAGACCGCATAGACTGAGACCAGAGTGGACCGAAGAGAGACCGCATAGACTGAGACCAGAGTGGACCGAAGAGAGACTGCATAGACTGAGACCAGCGCGGACCGAAGAGAGACCGCATAGACTGAGACCAGCGTGGACCGAAGAGAGACCGCATAGACTGAGACCAGCGCGGACCGAAGAGAGACCGCATAGACTGAGACCAGCGCAAACCGAGGAGAGACCAGCATAGACTGAGACCAGACTGGACCGAAGAGAGACCGCATAGACTGAGACCAGAGTGGACCGAAGAGAGACCGCATAGACTGAGACCAGAGTGGACCGAAGAGAGACCGCATAGACTGAGACCAGCGCGGACCGAAGAGAGACCGCAGTGACTGGAGGGACCATATGGAGAGACCAGCGCGGTCCTCCTGCTGCAGCAGTATATATTCCATTGTTTTGTGACCCGTGGATGGATAAATGTCCCCTATCAATAGGAAGGGGTCACTAACAGCATCATTTCCAATGTATTTGATAAAGCGTTGGCGCATTAAGTTTACAAATGAATTAAAAAATGACTAAATTACCATAAACAATTAAATAAATAAATACATACATCAATATGACAAACATATCACTGTAATGTTGTGTTTTATTGAACTTCACAACACGAGCGTGCGAACATGTCGGCACTGAATGTGCGTAAGAGGCTCCTGAGGACTCGTAGGATTTGTACTTACCCAAGAGAAATTCTGCTTACGAGAAATATTCGTGAATGCCACATTCTTCGTAAAATCCTCGTAAGTAGGATTTACGCACAAATTTGTTCGTAAGAACCGTTCGTTTAAAGTGATTGTCTGGAGTTTGTCAGAAAGAGAGACAGAGAGGTACTTGATTTGAAAAAAAACGACGCAAGCTCCTCCCCCTTCCTTTCTGATTGGTCTACACCTACGTTTCCGTAACACTTTGAACACATTATACATATACATTATTAATACACATGCACGGAGGTTTTCAGAATTATTTGTGAACGTTTTAATGAAAAAAAATATGTTTTTATGCACACAAAAAAGCGATCGCGGCAAACCAGGAAGTGCTATTATCATGAATTGCACATTATAGGACACATCTGCAGAGGATCTGATTATGGATATAGGTTCAGTATATAAATGATTATGGATATAGGGTCAGTATATAAATGATTATGGATATAGGTTCAGTATATAAATGATTATGGATATAGGTTCAGTATATAAATAATTATGGATATAGGTTCATATATAAATGATTATGGATATAGGTTCAGTATATAAATGATTATGGATATAGGTTCATATATAAATGATTATGGATATAGGTTCAGTATATAAATGATTATGGATATAGGTTCAGTATATAAATGATTATGGATATAGGTTCAGTATGGATAAGGTTCAGATTATGGATTATAGGTTCAGTATATAAATGATTATGGATATAGGTTCAGTATATAAAGGATATGATTATGGATATAGGTTCAGTATATAAATGATTATGGATATAGGTTCAGTATATACATAAGTACCTCAGCGCGGATGTTCAGAATTCTTTGTTCAGTTTTCATGTAGTTCCAGAGCCTAATGGAGGCTTGATTTGGAGGCTCCGCGAAAATAAACAACTGTGCATGCGGGATGATTGACAGCCCTTGGCATGACTCGATTGGTTACCCTCGACGAAACCGTGGATTCTGAACTATAGCTAAGAGAAGGGAAGGCGGGACTTGCCCGTAATATTAGAATTAATAAAATGACTTATTTTATATCAACATTTAAGGCCAGGAGGTCAATTTAACACATTTCCTAAAATTTTTAATTCATTTAGAGTTACAGACTATCACTTAAAGTAGTACTAGAATTTAATATGCTGCTATCCAGAATATATAACTACAATATGTGTTTATAATATTTCGGGTGTTCATTTTGACATGTTCAGATGAATTATGTTAAAAAAACGGCTGTGAAGTGGCACTTTTTAACAAACGCTAGGGGGCGCCAAAATGGCGGCGATGACGTAGGAGAAGGACCTCTCACAGCAGCAGCAGCAGTCTGGGCTGAATCTGTAGGAGGTTTCACTGTCATCTGAACAAGGTATAAACATATTTTACATCCGTTTTGTACATAATAGTGTGCAACTCTTTTAACCTTTTAGCCTTATTTGTGAGATTCAAGCTAATTAGTGTTGGGCAAGTTAGCTAACTCTACTTGATATCATAAAACATGCTAACAAGGCTAATATTCGTTTTTACATTATGCCAGTCTCACTTTGGTTGCCTTAGATTTATTTACCACAATGTACATTGTAATATCCAAAAATGCTAATCAAAATAACTTGAATTAAATAAATATTTTACTTTTATGAACAAAAAGCTGCAGAAGTTGAAAACAT